TCTGGATCAGCTGCAGCTGGAAAACTGATTTTTTCCCCCGGCAGAACTGTGAAGAAAGTGTTGCAGTCGATCGATGTGACTAACCATAAACATGGATGAGTTTCTTATTTGTTAGTCATTTAATCCTGGAGATGTTCTTCGGATGACAGAAGGCCGACTTTGTAGTCGTCTCTATGCGTCTCAGGTCAGAGTTCATCACCACAGTCAGATTTCAGCCTGATCTCTGGTTTCTAGCTGTAATAACTGAAGCTGCTTTGACTCTAGGTCGCTCCACAGCATCACCATCCACATCGACTCCGAAGAAACTCAGATGATATGAGTTACAACAACATTTAATTTCCCCTTGGGATGAATAAAGTAGCTTTGAATTGAATTGTGAATTGTGTGAGATGTGCTGCTGCCTTTTGAAGCTTTCTGCTCGTCTCTGCCCAGCATGCCTGCATCTGTGGAGGGCAGAGCCGGACTTGCAGGTCAGCGTTCTTACAACATGCGTTTGTGGCTGTTTTCTCTGACAAGGGAACTAATGGCTGAAACACGCTGCACATGGAAAGTTTTCAAAGACAAAAAACTGCCACCAGCATTGGCTAATACACTCCAAGGTGAGTAATGCCCTATTTAAACATGAGACAGTGGTGTGTGTTGAACAGCTTAACACAGCACTTCACTCTGTGTGTGTGAAGTCAGACAGGTGAGAACCACGAGGCTGAGCTGTGTGTCGGTAGTTATCAGTGTGCAGCATCGGTCCGAGGCCAGAGAGGAGCACACTGCAGCATTGTTGCCGTCCGTCCGGGGGAGGGACGGCGCGGCTGAAAGGACCCTAATCTGCTGTGTGCAGATCTGGAGGGGTGGTGGGGGGCGAAATGATGACGGTCTCCGTAGGAATGAGACGGAGCTTTGAGCCTGACGGCGGATTGTTTGGTTCTCCTGACCCATATGAAGATCTTATTTAGCTGCTCTTGTGAAGCAGAGCGCCGCTGCACTTGTATGGAAATGTAGTCGATGTTTGTTCAAGTGGTGAAAGAAGATTAAAGGAAATAAAAACTGGGTTTTAGCCCACAGAAGAAGGGAAAGCAGTTTCTGCAGCAATAAAATGAGATCCAATGGGATCAATAAAAATCAGGCTTTCAAAAAGTTCTGTCTAAATTATAGCTAATTATGACTGGATGAATGTGAAAGATGCTGGGTTTAAAATATTTATCATTTAAGGAACAAAGAATACGTAAAATTTTATAAGCTCATCAGAAGAAATTAACTTCACTTGAAAACACAAACTTTCAGCATTTTTGTCTGGTTTTTAGTGCAAATATCTTAATACACTTAAAAAAAGACAAAACTAACTTACAAGTAACTGTTTAGCAAGAAATAGGAGCTTCTTTTAATTACATAATTAAGTACTTGTTCTATCAGCAGATAATTTCACTTATAAGAAATACATTTTTCCCATAATACTAGTGATGCAATCTGGAACCAGTCATTTTCTATCAATATTAAGGAAATATTGGCTTACAACAAGTTCCTATATGTTGTTGAAAAGTTACTTTATATACCTAATTTAGTTTTGTCTTATTTCACTACAGATTAGACCAAAAATACCTGGTAAGATTTTGGATTTAAAAATTTTGCTTAATTCTATTGTTATCCAAATGGATTTGAATGCACATGTCATAATGCAGCATCCTCCATTCAGTTTCAGCCTAGGATGTTTTAGAATTTATAAACCAGATATTAACAAGCAAACCTTTCAAATATGACATTTGTGCATAAATATATCACAATGTGGCGAGAACAAAGTCTATTTTACTTAGAACCACTTCAAAATAGGAAAGACAAGATAAATATCTCCAGATGTCAGCAGGTACGTCTAAATGGAGATTACTAGTGACCCCAATTCATCAAAGAATAACTAAGTTTATGACAGGAGTTTCAGTCTAACAAGCAATAACTGAGCTTTAATTTATTTTTAGGTAATTTACATATAATTTAATTTACATGCATTTAGGTAATTTTTAGGTTTCAAAAATTCTAATTCAACCAGTGAAAAACTAAAATATTTTAATCTCAACGGTTTTGATGAACACACTGAACCTCAACTACAATAAAATAATTTCAGTCATATTTGCTAACTAAAATGTCCTAATATTTATCTCCATGTGTAGAAAAAAGGCCCGAGATCAGTCGTTCAGGGTTAGGCCTATGTTACAACTGGGGCCATGCTGCCCTCTGGTGGTCAGTATGTAAAAGTACATGTTGATCAAAATAAACCCTGTTAAAAATCAGTCCGTGTAAGTTGTTCATGTGTTTGTCAAAGCATGTTGAATGAATTTTAATCTAAGGATGTACATTATAAATATGTTAACAGTTGACAGCCTTACAGGAAAACTTTTAAGTCGAACAATCTTTGGCTGGATGTCCCAGTTTGTCCTTGTGTTTAATACATCAAGGCGATAAAATTTTGATTATTCTCCTGTGTAGAAATTCAGATTTTAGTTTCCAAAGAGCCTTTAGTTTCAATTTTTCACATCTTGAAGAAGAGCATTAACGGCCGAGGGTTGTTTATACTCATCTGTTTCTGTATTCTCGTCTATTATGGGAGCTGAACACATGCGACATGACTAAGTATATTTAGAATAAAAAGTATAAACTGAATGTTAAAATGTGTATTAATCTTTAAATACTAACGTCTAATTATATGAAGGTCAACAGGATTCTGTTTTCATGTTGAGGTTGTGTTGCTCAGCAGACCTGAAGCCGTTACTGAACAGAACCTCTCAGGTTTACGCGTTACGCTGCGGGTCATCTGGGTGAAGGTAGGGTGCTCTGTTTTCCCCTCACTCACAAGAAAGGCAAATTTAGCCATTTGGAAATATTCCCAGCAGAGAAAGGAGCTCACTGATCTGCTAAATCTGCGCTTGGTAAACTACAAACGGCCTGTGCAGCAGCTGGCTGCAGATAGCCTGATTAATTAACCTTCTAAAATGAACTTGTTGAATGTTGTCAAGTTTTATTTCATAAAGAATTGAACAGGAAAATTAACAAACTTGTGCAATAATTAACTCTGTGGAATAAGCAGATTTACTTGAAAATGGAGAATAAATGTATGGATTTTTTTTTCTAATTTAAAGGTTTTTATTTTATATATTCAGAACCAAAATACATCCACCCTTCCCAAAAGCTACAGGCAATATTAAAAACTTTATAACAAATATTAGGTTATTTAAAATAAATTAATTTGAATAAAACGTGACTTAAAAAAAAGTAAAATTCAATTAAAGTTTTATTAAATAAAGTTTCGCTGTAACATAGAACATTTCTGACTGGAGATACTGATCAAAATCTGCTCAAAAATTTCAGTTTGTTTCTTACATTTTCTTTTACACTGAGCTCATCATTTTTAGTAGAACAAAAATAAATAAATTCTTCACAAAATATATATTTTTTTCCTTTTAATTTTATTGAACACAAACATTTCTGACAGAATGCAAAGTCAAAATGTGTTTTCCTTCACTCCTCAGTTAGTATTCTGTATTTACACCAGGGAATAGTGAACAGACAGACACTCAGACAGAGGAGAAGCAGACTGAGCTGCTGTTTACAGAGAGAAAGACTGGAGGACAGAAAGTTCTGGATCAATGACGGCGACCAGCTGCTGGCGGCGGAGGCTCCTCTGAGCATGATGGATGTTACAAATCCCTCTGGTGTAACATGAGCACAGGACCTTGGAATGAAATTTTCATCTTTTTTTTATTCCCCGATCAAAAAAAAAAAAAAAAAAAAAAGGGAAAAAAGGAAAAAAAAAGGAAAAGGGGGTTTTTAAAGAACTGATTCTGGCTAATGAAGAATAAAAAGAATTTTAAAAAAATCACATAAACCAGCAAAACCGATCAATCCAGACATTTTAACAACTTTAAGGCAAGAAAAACAAAACAAAAAAGCAAAACAAAACAAGACAAAATGTCATTTTTCACACATTTCCAGGCAAAATTAAGTCAGTTAACTTTTTTTGTTTTGTTTTAGAAGAGACCAGAACAAGTTCCTCAACATTTGAAAAGCATAAAAACATGAAGAAAATAAATCTTAAAAATGAAAAAGGAATTTTAAGTAATGATTCATGCTGTTTGACAAATCTGATCATTTCTGGAAACATAATTTATATGTTCTTAGCTTGTCCGCACTGATTTCGCCTGATGCTAGCTTTGAGCGTTAAAACGTTAAATATCTCCTTTTGGCTCGTTTCATTGTGTCTGTGTAGTTTTGGTCATGGCCAACCTTCCTTAAACGAGACTGCGGTCAAGTTAAAGTAAGGTTCTTAGCAATAATCTTTCCCTTGAAATATTTATTATAAAGGAATGAATGGACAAAACGTCCAAAAGGAAGCGGAATAATGCAGCCTTACAGAACATCGGAGAGGGTCTGAAGAAGCTTCATTTACAGCTGAATGGAGCAGCGAAAGGAAAGAAACTGACAGGAGGAAGAAAAGGGGAAACTTCGGAGCACAGAAACCAAGAGGAAGGGAATGCATGGCGTCGTCTTTCAGTCTAAAGGCACTCAGCCGGACGTCTCTACGCTGCTGACGGCGGGTTCGGCGCTCGCTACCGGCTACATCACAATCACACTAGAAGCTCAACTCTAACACACAAGGCTCGTGTGTTTGCTGTTCACACTTAACCAGCTGCAAGTCTACGGTGGAAACAACACTGTACAGAAAAAGACCTAATTTCTGCTCTGCTTTTTAATGTTTCAAATGCAGAATTTTAGAAAAAGAGACGTTTTATTATCAAGAGACCGAGCTCATTTTTATCAAGATGATTTTCCCACCTCAGGCAGAACCTTCTGTTTTCAGTCAGTTTAAAGCTAAACCTGAACATCTCTCTGCTTGGTGGTTTGCCATCAGAATCTGTAGGACTTGTGACAGTTTGGACTTTTTGGAAACAATTTTTAAAGAAAGATTTTTGCCGTTTAAAACTTCTGCAATCACGCCTGACTGTGTTCAATAGTTTGTCTTTTTTTTTTTTTTTTTTTTTTGCAGCAGAACCTTCGCATTTATTGGCCGCCTTGGTAAAGATGCAGGAAACTCTACATAAAATGTCCTACAGTAACACGATCTCACCGAAAAACAATGAAAAGTCCAGACTTTACTTTAGAAAGATTTATTAATTGGGGAACATTTCTATGTTTTTATTTTTATGTTATTACTTTTTAAGAAAGTCAAAAAGGAGCTTTGGAAAACGTTGTACCACCTCTTTAAAAATTCTAAAAATTTCTGATTAAATATTGAAAAGCTTGGGCTTTTTTCTTTGAAATATCATTCGTTTCCAGATTTTTTAAAATTTCAACACCCACCTTATATAAATAGCATGTTCTGTTATCTTTCTTAGTTTCCATGGAGATGGGCCTCTGTGACTCTTCATATTCAACTTATGCATTATGTTCCTTGACAGTACGATCAGCTTAACAGTGTACAGAATTGGTAAATAAATTAAGTACATTTATTTTATTATCATTTTAAGAGTTACCAACACTCTTGTTAAAAAAAAAAAAAAAAAGTTTATTTTAAGGTGGGATTTTTTTTTTCATCACTGAAATTTCAGGTTGGATAAATGAATGTTGAGACTTTCTACCAGGAGAGCCAATAAGTTAGGAAGGTGCTGCCGTCAAAATAATTTCAAATAAAAAATATTTAAAACTTCATGGATTTCATAAAGCTGCTAGAAGGAAAAACTAAAAGTGAAACCGATTTTTCTTTTTCTTTTTTTGCAGTTGTATGGGCTGATCTTTAAAACAATTCAATAGAAAGGCTAATAAATGACACAAGCTGCTCAATTATTTACTGCCTGACCAGATTTAGACAAGCCCCTTCAGATTTGATGCCACAAAATGAAAAGAGAAACAGCAAATACCCAAAGATCCAGTTGAGTTCGGTTACTATGTCAACAATAAATATGATAAAAGAAAAAAACAAACTCCGGCTATGGAGGAGTCAAATACGAAGACATAACACACGTGGATCTACATTTCTAAAATGAGTCATAAGAACAACCACATCTCAGTCCAAACTGACTCCATGTTTCACTCTAAAGTCCAAACATGTTGCCTAACCTACGTGTCCAAACCACTTTAAGGAAACCTCAGGATAAGTGTAACACACGTGTGAGAGAGAAGGAAAACATGTACATTTTCAGAACTCAAAATGCAAAGGTTTCGAGTTTTGAAACATAAAGGTGTGGAATTCACAGAGTCCTGCTGCATCAGAACTGGGTATGTTACTGTCAGTGGGATTTCACCATCTAATTTTACAGTATTTGGAATTTTTACAAAGAATCAGCCGACCGTCTGATGATGAAACCTCAGTACTGAATGAGCGCCCAAAAACAACTCGGCTGGATTAATGAAACATTAGGCCACACCACTGGTTTCATTTGAGATTTTGTGGATATAATGTTTTTATGCACCTGCAGAAAATATCTATATTTGTGAATCGGTTTTGTACAAATGCTTAACAAATTGTTGTTACAAATGCAAAGTTCCAAATCAAAGAAATCAACCTGAACAATTACTGTGGGTTGATTTTAGAGTTCCCAGTAAATAGGGGGGCAAATATGGGTTTAGCTCTTCTATAAAACGTAAAATCGGAATTAAACATGACATCTTTCGCTCAAAATGTTTTGATGCTTGGTGCTGGAATTGTAAAAAAAATAATTGAACAGAGTTGTACAATTAATATTGTACAATATTTTGTACAATTTATAACAGAATATTGTACTGTAAAAACTGTACAAATCTAAATGTTTTCAATGCATGGGTAATTTCTAATTATACACAAACCTTAATTTGTCATTTTATTTTAACAGGGTTACAAAGCTTAATTCATGAGAAGAACACATTTTTGACCTAGTTTGTCTGTATACATGTATTTTAATACAAGATGGAGAACTGCAAACAGTGCAACAAGGTTACAGGTAAATCTCCTCACATAAGTAAATTACTTAAATGGTAGATTTTAAGTGAGGTTCCCATTATTTACATCCTGCAGTGCAGGTTTTCATTGGTCCAGTTCATGAATATTCATCCAAGGCCCATTATATTTGGCTATTCAATATTTAGTTAAGGTTAATGAGGAATTTTAAGGAGGGTTTTAAAGATATTTATTAAGAGATGAAAACAATTTAAGGCATGAAAATTGGGATTTAACAGGAGCCAGTCAGAAAGAATGAAGCTGTGATTTAACTGATCTAAAAAAATCTAAACAAAAACATGAAGGCCCCCTGAAAATTGAGTCCATATACAGGTTAACACGCAAGAACTAAAGGATTTGGCATGAAAATTTCAGGCTTATTGGGGAAAAACTCAAAAAAACATTTTATGCTCTAACTGTTTGATTTATAAAAAAAATGAAAGTAAAAAATAAAATAAAACATGTAATCAGCTTCTGAAGAACACTAACAGACACTAACAACGCATGGCGACCAAACCCACCATGCTGTTTGTCAGAAGCCAGGAAATGAACCAAAAGAAAAACTAAGGATTGGAAACTCAAAAATCTGATATTTTTTTAACCGATTAATGTCCCACACCTTGTGCTAACAGCAACACTCTTCAGTGTGGAAGTTGAGACTGAGTGATGTATACTAAAGTCTATTGAGCAGTCTTTTGAATATCAGTAAAATGTTTAAAAATGACATTGAGGTCATTTTGGCTGCTACTTTTAAAGAGAGGGATTGAAATTTCTTCTGACTAAAGGAAGGATGAAGGTTTTACAGTAACGTTGCTTTGTTTTATCTTCCCAAGCATTTAATCTCTGCCACAAAGCAAGTTGAATTTAGAAATGTAAACTTTCTGGGCTCAGATCGAAGGTAAGCGTGTCTAGAGAATAGGAATCTTTATACTGTGGTATAAAGCTATTAATGCTAACAACGCTAATTGCTAATATAAGAAGCTAAAGTTGGCTAATATTTGTGTGTGAAGCCCTGTTTCACCGCGACATGTTGCCTTGGCTCCAAATATAATTGATTAATGATGTCTTAAAAAGCTAGAATAATAATAATAATAATTAAAAAAAAAAAACAACATTTTGAATGCATTTACCTAAAATTACTGAAGAGAAATCGGAGTTGGCTTACTGAAATTAGTATTAACAAAACTCTGATTGGTGCATGTATAAACAGCCTGCAAACAGACTAAGGAGGAAAAAAAACAAGACATTAACTTTTACGTGAATATTTCTCACAATCATTTTTCCGTTTTTTTTTGTTTTTTTTTTGGGAGAGTGAAGATGAAATGAAGGAAAACGCAGGATTAAGAAGCGGAAAAGAAAAAAAAAACCCCGATCACATATGAATTTACAGAAATACAGCAACTTTGCAACAAATCCACATGCTTTAATAAAGACATTAAGAAACAGCTAAATAGGCAGTGAGAACAGCATTTAAAGAAAAACCACAGGCAAAGGAAAAAGAAGACCCATAATCCATCATCACAATAATGAGCGTACTGCATAAAGAGTAGTAGAGTCGGTCTTACATTTGTGTGCATCTTAAAGGCAAAGCTACAGTTCATCCAAGTTTATCTAGAGAAAATATGACAGACGCTGATCTGCTTATTACGTACAAAAATGGGTGACATGACGTGTGAATATCTAATGTTTTACAGTGACTGATTTAGGTGGATGTATTGGGAACTAAGGCGTCGCATGAGGTTTATCACTCCTGCTCATATTCCAGCAGAAACACGCATTTTCTTTGTAGTTTATATCTTCTGAGTTGCTGCTTTATTTATTTATTTTTTTCCTAATGCAGTGGGGTGGTGTGTGTGAAATTGTTTCGAAGTTTCAGTGACTGTGACCACCCCCCGTTTTTAACCTGTAAAACCCACACCCCAAACTCTCCCCGCCCAACCTGCACCTCTCCCTCCCTCCTCCGCCCCGCTGCTGCCCCGGCTGGAGGACATTATGCTTTACTTTCATTGCCGTTCGCCCGAGGAGCCTCGTTGGGGACCGTCTTCACCTCGGCCGTGGCGTTCTTCACCTCCGGCTCGGCTTTGGCGTTGTCGCTCTTCACAGTCTTCCCGCTGCGGGCGAGAGCAAAAGGAGCGAAAGAGGAAGAAGGAGATTCCGTTAGAATCGACGAGGCTCTCTTTTCACAGCCAAACTGTCTTGCCTTTTTTTTTTTTTGTCTGATTCCTCAAAGGGAGGAAAGAGGTGAAAACATGCAGGATGCTTTGAGGGAATTTGTTGTTCTCGCTCCTGGAACTGAATGCATTTCACACTTAATGGGATTGAGCTCGCTATCCTAGCCGGGCATCAGACAGGAGCACATGGATGTCACAGCTACTTCCCAGGAACAATGAATGCTGATGTGGAATGACACACAGGGCCGGTACGGTAGACACAGCGCTGGAGGGAGGGAAGGACCGAGGTGCGGCCTACAACAGAGACTACAATACACCAGAGGATTACATGCCATCTGGACTCAGCTGAGCTCAGACACAATGGGAACAGACTTTGAAGCCACACATCACTTTTTTTTTTTTTCCAGTCTAAAAATGTGTTATTTTTTCCTCTGCTGTCCTGCCTGCCGCCTCTCTAACAACTGCTCTGATCCTCACGTTTTTCTGTCCTGTCCACCGATTAAAAAAAAAAAAACCCTCATAAAATTCATGTTTAATTTCGTTCTGCCTTGCAGAAATACTGAACGTACATTTTGTCAAACTTTAGTGCATGCTGCTGGGATTTTATGTGAATGAAAGAAAAAGGACTTATGGTTTTATCACTTTTTTTTAACAAATAAAAATCTGAAATGCATGATGTCGACATGCAAACAGAACCTTTAGTCGGTACTTTGGAGAACTGGAACCAGATTTGACTGCGGTTGCAGCTGCAGGATGTTTCTACCAGATCTCCATGTCTAGAAATCAAAGTTTGAAATCTCCTTTGTGAAACAGCTCAGGCTCAGTCAGACTGGATGGAGAGATTCTATTGTCAAACATTTTTCCATTGGATTTAAGTCTGGACTTTGACTGGGCCATTCTAGCCAGCGACAAAGCAATACATTTCAGCAGAACATGTATCATATTTAAACACATTTCAACATTGTTTCTAAAGAACTGAAACATTATGTATAAAACAAAGAATCACTAATTAACATTTAAAAGAAAATCTGTTTTAAAAATGCTCCAGAGTTGAACACAACACCAAACTATGTCTGAAATAGAAACCAGCAAATGATAAATCCATGTGCACACTTCCATAATGATCATGACTTCTGTTCATTTTTATTATGACATCTGTCACAGAAAGTCTCTTTACACTACATGACTGTCGCTCTGTTTGACCCTGTTCCCTGATTCTGCGTCTTCTGAAGGAACATTTTTTCACCCAGCATCTAACTTGTGCATGTCAAAGGTAAATGTGATGAATAAAAATACAGATCACACTTTCCAGGTTTGCATTTGCAAAACAATTAACGACTCCGTTTCCGTTACCTTTAGCAAAGCTGCAGCATTTGCTACGGCTGCAGGATATTTGCAGAAGAGCCTCATAAAAACATTTAAGACAAATGTTTGTTTATTTTGATGAAAGATTACATTTAAACTGGAATCCTGGTTCAGTCGTTGAGTTGCCAAAAACTTTTGCATTTCCTTTGTAACTTTTACTTAAAAAAGGGACAAAGTACAATTTAAATTGATACGTCACCATTTCAGATTCCAGCTTTTAGCATTTGTACGGTCTGCAGATTTTTTTACCATCTGCAAACAGAGAGGTTGGAGCTGACGGAGTCTACGGCAGTGAAAACGGCAGCTCTGATGGAGGACGGCACAGCGGGAGCGCTCTGCTTCAGGCCCGTCTGAGCTGTGAAGGAAAATCCCTCCAATGACAAGGAGGCTTTCATCACACTGATTTGGAGCTGACAAGCTCCCTGCACCCAAGTAGCCGTAAACGCTTCGCTCTTCATCACTGACATCCTCCCCGGAGCAGCCGAGTGAGCAAATTAAGAGATGGAGGAAGAGGAGAAGGACGAGTGTCTCTCAGGAATTCATCTCCTGCTACAGTTTTCTCCTCGGCTTCACAGGCTGTCAGGAATCAGCAACGTCTGCAAACTACGGAGTGGGATTCAGAAAAATCAGCTCCAACATCCCAGCTGCTGGTTGGAGAGCTGATCTATCAGGGAGAAGTGTGTGGGGCCCAGCCACGAGGAGACGGACACCAGAAACACCTGCTGTGAAACTGTGATCCCTGTTTCCTTTAAGGCAATGAAATTATCTTGATTTATCGCCAGAAAAAGATTTTGCTACCAAAAGCTGCCTACTCTGACAAAAAATATTGTCAAACAGAATTTGCATACAACTTTGTTCATTTTATTATTTTATTTTAATTTGTTTTTGTTATATTTTATTTCACTTGTTTAAAATGTACAATTTGCTTACATTTTATTTAAATTTTTAGTTTAACTTTATGTATTTATTTCCATATTATTGATTTAACTTATATTTTCATCACTTAAAAATGACTTTTATTTTAATTTATTGCCTTCGACTGTGTTTCTTATAAATGCCTAGTAGGGAAGGTGTGAGCCAACAATATACAAAACATTACTATTTACCTTTATTTAATTTGATTTGTTTCGCTCTATTTTTTTTATTTCATCTATTTTATTTTAGTTTTCTATATTTTACACTTCACTGCAGTTTCACTTCACTCTTTGATTCTATTTCAACATAATTTTGTGTTTTCTATTCATTGTAATTCTATTAACTTTAATATTTCAATTTCATTTCATCATGTTTTTGATGCTCTATTTTACATTACATGTGTCATGAGACTGTGAATTTTACACTTTCTGACTTTATATTATTTTTCTTTCATCTTATTTATTTTTTTAATGAAAAACATAAAAATACTAAACTGTGATTTTATTTATTAAACTTCCAAATGCATATATTTGTTTTAGTAATTTATTTCAATGTTTTGATGAAATACATACTTTTTTTTATCACCCCTGTTAAATCTTTTCCCACATTGAACTACATGTTAGCCGTAACGTGGAGGCCTGCGGTGCTGAGCGCTAACGAGCCAAACGGTGGGAAGATGCTCGTTTCTGTGAGGTTAATAAGCAAACAGGTGGAGGCAGCGGGTGGAGGGTGGAGGCATGCAGTGACCGATGGAGAACATATGGCAACGTTAAAGGAACTTCCACCCTTAAATGGTCCAAAAACTGACCTGACATCCACAAGTGCTGATGTCCAGACTTATTGTTTTTAGATTTCCCACAATGCATTGATTTCTCACACAGATATAGACGTCAGTCTTAAAAAAAAAAAAAAAAAAAAAAACAAAAGCCACAACGAATGCTATAAAATTTATGAATATTTACTGTGTAACAAATTTCTCCTAACTTTTGAAGTGTGGGACGTGTCTGCAGTCGCAGCTGTGCTCCTTCTTCCACATGATTAATTCAGGTGAAACAGCTCCTGCTGCCTCTGGATCTCTGCCCACAGCTGATGCTTATTGGATCCTGGTACAGAGCCAACGGCCAAACATATTTCAGGGTGAGATGGAGGCAATCAATATCTTCCACAGATCAGCAGTTTTAACAGGGACTGATGAAATGTGATGGTCGTTTTAAACTTTCTTCACACTTGGCCTCAAACTTGGCTGTATGGGGTCTTTAAGAGCAAGTTTTTATTTTGGTGAGATAATTGATTGGTTATATTTGGCTCCAGATTTTAGCCTCTTAAAATCAAATCTCTGCCAATGAAAAACTGTTTAAATGGATTAAATCATAGTCCAGTGAGTTAAATGCCTGAGTTTCAGGGAAACAACAACTGAAAGGTGAATCTCTACAGTGTTCCATGAACATTCATGGGATTTCTGTAGAAATGTGAACTTTGGACGCTGACATCACTGTAAGGGATGTCTGTGCTGCTACATGCTATCAGATGCAGAACATGGGAACATGGAGGATTGTTGTTTTTTTTTTGCATTCCCTCACAATAATGTACAGATCAGTTCATGCGGCATAACTGGGTACTGTAAGCCTTTCTTACGGTGGCCATCATACTTTCTGCTGTTATATAAGGTTGTCGTAAGGTTTATCCATCTATAACTTATGAAATATCAGAAGTTTTATATCTTTTTCTTTAGTATAGAAAAGCTGGATGTTTTCGTGTGCAGTTCCATCTCAACATAACACAAACAGACATAAACATGCAGTGAATAAAAAAACAGATTTGTACCAGAGAGTTAAGAATAAACACGTTTTTACTGAGGCTCTTTAGATGTGTATATATTTGAAATTTTAAATTGACATTTGTGAGGGAACGCAAAAAAAAAAAAAAAAATTCCCTTTTCAAAATTTAATCCATTAAAATCTGTGTAATTAATTATTTGAAATGATCCTTTAAAGCAGACAATATAAGCCATAGTCATAAGAATTAATAGCAAAATCCACACTATGTGTTCAATTAATCAGTTTCACTTTATGAATGGAATGGAATAAAAAAGCTTTTGGATGTTGCTGTAACGGACTGAGGCGCAGCAGCACCTCTGTTCTGAGCAGAACCATGCATGTGGGAAGAACCGTTTAAGGGTGAAGTTCTCCTTAAAAAAATGGTAGCCCTCATGAAATGACCAGAACAAAAGGGAGCAATAAAGGAAACAGAGATGTTCATACTCATTTTGGGTTGATGTGGTGGAGTCTGAGCATGGGGCACAGCGGGCATCGTTGCTCTGGCCGTCTACTTGTAAGTCCTTACTCTGGGTGCTGCTGGGGGCTCTCACTGACTCACACGGGTTCTGAGGCCTGTCGCCATTAGCGGGCGGTGGGCTAACTGGCTCTAATACAGGAGGGCTGGAGGCAGGGGCAACTTTTGGAGCGTCGCTGAGGTCAACCAGGGGCCCGACGCTGCACTCGGAGTCTGCTTTAGGTGAATTGGAAAGGGCTGCAGCAGTGTTTTTAGGAGAGGAGTTAGTCTGTGGCGTGCTAAAGCTCTCTGTAACCGAGTTAGAAGCAGCCGGGGGGAGTCGGTTTACCGCCGTGTTCGGGGAGTCGGCAGCGGCAGGTCTGTTTGGCAGGAAGTAGCAGGGAGGGGGTGGGGGAGAGGTGGAAGAAGAGGGGTGGACACAGGAGAGGAAGCATAGAGCCAAAACAAAAAAGAACAAAAAAATAAAGGGTAGAGTGAGAGTGGAAGTCAGGGCAACAACAAGGTTTTAAGTGCTTCTGTGCTTCAGTGGAAAAAGTAAAAATCTATACAGTCAAAATGTTAGCAACAAAATATTGGGGGGGGGGAATCACAAAATAATCAAAAGAATGGACAAGCAGTTTTCCCAGGATGAAGGAGTCGGTCTGCAGCTCCTGCTCTGAGCTTTTACAGAAACTAAAGGGATTCTGTTTGGTACAGAAACAACATAAAGCCACAGAAATCCAACGGCAGCTGGACCTCAAACCTGAAGAGCTGAAATGATTCTGGCAAGTCACCAATCATTTTCTCCACTCTTGTTTGCTAAAACTCCACAGCACCATGTTTTTAAAATGTGAGGTAGCGAAGGATTTGTTATGAATGTTCCTTCAAACAGCTTCCTACGAGCACGAAAACAGCTAAAAGAAATGTAGCTTCTCAGCCTCAAAGCTGTACATCAACTAAAGTATTAATACCCATTAAACTTTTAGACGTTTTTTCTCAATACTAAAACCTCAAATTTAAATTAATTTCATTAGGATTTATGTGACAGAGCAACACAAACTACAGTATGATTATAAAATGGAAAGAAAAACGAGAAGTTGCCTGATGACTGCTAATGTGTGTGTAATCTAACCTCAGTACAGACAGAGAAAACAGGCTGAATTTGTTTTCACATATATATTTTGAATCACATGTAAATGTCTTCCTACTTTATAGCACTTTGTGCTGTTCTTTCACAAGAAATGTCAATGAAATACATTTATGCTTGTGGTTGGAATGTGACAAAATATGGAAAAGTTCAAGGGGTCTGAATACTTTTGCAAGCCACTGTGTATTCATGAGTTAGAATGGCCTAGTCAAAGCTCAGATGTTAACCCAATTAAACAGTTGTAGATGTGCTGCAAAGAATCAGGAGTTGCAGTGTGTAGATGAGCGAAGCTGGAAGAAAGCTGCTGCTAAACGTCGACGCAAACAAAGCTATGAATTATTTCTCTTCCACTTCGTAGCTACTAAATGTTGGTTTATCACATCAATTCTGATGTCGTACACCAAAACCTGAGGATGTATTGTGACAAAATGTGAAAAGGTTCAATGGGTATGAATACTTCCATACAGCACTGTTTTTATATGCGAGTCCAGTCTTATTTCATCTGAAAATCCTGCATATATAAGCCGTCCATCCATCCACCAATTAAGTGTGTAGACTTGGTTTTGGACCGTCTCTCAAAGAGCCAATTAAAGCGCTCGGTTCTCACTCTGGTTCTGTCAGCGGGGTGGTCTCATTGGGCTCAGTGGGACCCCCTCCTTCTTGGTTCGGGGTGTTTTCTTCCTTTGCTCTCACTTCCACAATCGGCTCCTTAGACTCGTCCTTCCTGTCGTCAGAAAGAAAGGGAAAGAGCAAACGGACGCATAAATTCAGGCGTGCGTTTGTGAGACGAGAGGAGGTCTCAGTTCAGTCAGGCAGCTCTTCGTTGCGGCCCGGGAACACACGGTCACCTCACGCAAATGATCAGCGGCAGTGTAAAACAAATGAGCTCAAAGATTCAGACACACACAGTCGGTCTGTTCGGCTGTCAACCGCGCTGTCTCGTTCACTCAAGCCAATATTTGATCATCCTCCACCTCCACCAACCTGCGTGCTCTGATTGCAGTTTTTTTTCTTCCCCCCCGGAGGGCTTCGCCGCCGCCACACTCGGCTCTCTGATTGTGCTCGTCTTTAAAGCGTTCGCTGGCAGGGAACGACATGTTTGAGATCTAAAGGTGCAAAACATCTCTGCAGCTCTCGCCGCTGCGACTCGGTTCACAGCGTGGCACAGGCTCTGAAGAAGTGTTTTGCGAAGGCTTTGGTTGAAATATTTATTTGTTGTGTGCATTGCCTCCATGAGGAGAAGCTGGCGAACATATTGAGGTGAATTCCTGATCAAAGTACAGCGTTCTTTTCAGGAAGGTTGCATTAATAATTACGCTGCTCCAAACATTCCAGCATTGTCTGTAATTCCTAATCATTTGACGTGATTGCATTTCGCATTCGTTGTTCGAGAAGCAGCAGAAACCTCCACTATTACTGGTAAAATGATTAGGCTGTGTGAAAAGCCTTAAAGTAAATGTGTGTTTTAGTTTAGCAGAGTAATCTCACTCTGCACATTTTAGAAAAATGTATCCTTTATTTTTTCTTTACAATAAAAGGTATTTTTAATAAACTACTACTGCCACAATTTATTTATTTATTTTTTATTTTTACCACCAACACTTCTCATTTTTACTCTAAAACCGTAACTATTTTTTGCAATTTTTACTTTCTTCAAATTTGCTGAACTAGTGATTGTACTCATGTTAAGCAGAGTGGAGGATGTGTGATGCTGTGGGCCTGTTACAGTGGACTGCATTATGAACATTAAGACAAGTTTTTAATACAAGTCTGATGTCTTCCACATCAGAAAACTGAGAGTCTGCTGTGATTGGGTCTTTCAGAGGGATCATGGTCATCTGGCAAAATCAACTCCACCTTCCTCCAACGGCACAGGGAGGAGGAGGCTAAACAGCTGCACCTTGGGCTCACAAAGCCATGACATTTTGTGCATCTTTACCAGAATTTTCAGAGCATGTCAGATTATACTTTTTCTTCAATCAATCCAGAAGCAGGCAGCAAAATCACAATGCGTGCGCTTACGAGAACGCCGCCTTTCCCTCCTCGATGTCCTTGCTCTTGGCGCCCGGCCCGGCTTTCCCGCAAACGTTGACGGCGATGCACATGAGGAGGCCGCACTTGTTGAGGAAATAGCAGGTGACGTCCACGGCCACCAGCAGCAGCAAGAAGACAACGATGAGGATGCCCACGATGGCGCCGGTGCCGAGTCCTGAGCCGCCGTCTGCAGTGTCTGAAGAGGAAGAGAGAGGCAAAGGGGGGATACGAAAACCACACAAGACAGAAGAGAAAGAAGGGTTTCAACACGGAGGAGAGGAGGAGAGAGGAGAGGGGGGCAGCCAGGAAATTAGACAGAGGACAGACATGATGAGAGGCGATGAGGGATACGGTGAGACTCAATGAAGATGTGAAGCAATCAGTTGGAGGAATCACCAAGTATGTATATTCCCCCCTCCCAAAAAACCCCCCAAAAAACAACAAAAAAAAAAACCTTCCACTCCATCTTTGAGAGGGAAATGTTGTACTTTCTACTCTATCAAATTCACTTTTAAGCTTTTAAAACATGAATCTGTGAAAGGTGAATCCATAGATAACTTTAAGTTGTTCTGCAACAGTTCTCTTGCTTTTTGCTCCGAGAGTTTGAACAATATCTGGGAGAAGAAACTAAAGGATTTAATATGATGTTGCTGACACTTTTCATACAATGTTTAGTCTTCAGTCGATGCCAAAAGCTTTACTGGCTTTAGTTTCCAGCTCTTTTTGGAAGACGTCCTGCATGGATTCCAGACAATGTTAAGAACAGAGTCTGGACTGAATCCAGCATCGTTCCTCTCTCCCACGTGTCCGAAGCAACCTAAACCACAGAGGACTGTTCCAGGTGCTGACATGTTGGGCAAAAACTAATTCATCATCCCCTGGGATTTTTGTGATGCTCCACTTATTTTCGAATGGGACGGGATAACACTGGGGGAGATATATAGCAGCATTGGTAAAACACTGCAAGACTGATTTTAGTTTTCTGTCCAGGGTTTCATCTGCAGCGCCTTACTTTAGCTTCTTAGTTTGCATCCTATATCTAGTGCTCAATAAAAGAAAAGACTCTTCAGTGTTTAGAATCTCAGCTAATTTGCAAACCCTGTCTTCAGATGGACTTTGAGTAACAAAAGGATCTTATTCAATGTTTAAACTGAAGAAATAAAACTGAGTAATTACATAAGACCCAACATTACAGATAACTGATAAAAGATCAGTCTCTTGAGGAAAGACAAACAGTTTTTTTTACACTGTGTGCTAAAAATGACTTTTCTAATTATATTGAATGAACTCCAAATCTTCAGTCCATCCTGTTGACACAGATGTAATCTGCTTACCAGTTAATTAGAAGCTTTATAATTGTAAATCTGGAAACCTACACCCGAACACTTATGGCAAACTATGTATACTAAATATGTAAACTATAAAACAAAAAAAAAAGTGGGCTAAGAACAGGACCTTGGAGCACTAAAAACAGTTTATTTTATTTTAATGTAGTACCATATTGGGACTTGATATCTACAGGTCTTTGTTTCTGACCAGGTTCAGAGTCAGAGCGGGCCCTATCTCTGGCGCTCCACTGGGTTGTGTATTTGGCCCCCTATTGTCCACTCTGTACACCAATGACTGTGCCAGCAAACCCACGACAGTGATGTTTAATTAGAGACCACTGTGGCCGAGCTCATCTTTGGTGGGGATGAAATGCAGGGAGGAGGTGACCAGGCTGGCGGCTCGTTGTGCTGATAAAGAGGCCATCCCTGACTTCTATTAGAGTCGCTGTCCTCGACTCGCAGACGCACTGTGAGACCGAGAGACAGTTTCTACAGCAGTCCAATAACTCTTGTGCTTCCCCTGGAAGATTCATCTAATCTTCACTGAACTTTAACTGTTTTCTTTCAAACAATATTACACAAGCAACACTGTTACATACGTAACTATTCCACAGTGTATTCCTCAGAGGTAATGCACTGTAAAAAAAAATTAAATAAATTAAACTAAACACAGGGATAAATTCAGAGGCCGAGTGAGGCTCAGATGCAGTGAAGGCTGTTTCCTCGAAGCACTGAGGTCTGCTCAGGATCAAAAGCCCATCAAACTGTCTGGAGAGAATGGGAGCTCCATTCTGCTCACTAAATCACCTTTAAGTTCATATAAGACATTTGTACTGTTATACTCAGTGGTCCAGAACGGCAGTGCTGAGCTGCTGTATAAATCTTTGTATCATCAAAGGCTAAAACCTGCATTTGTCCAACAAAATATTTGTTTAAAATAACCCTGCTTGCCGTTCACTGTCCTCACAAACAAATGTTCTGCAAGGTGGCATGTGGTAAATGTACTGTTTGCGTTCATTTTAATGCAGCGATAAACAGCTTGATGAACACTATTATATAACACCTAAAGCAATACTTCTGTTTCATTCGCTTTATTACTTCAGTAAATGTGCTGAAGTCAGCATATGGCAGGTTCTCTGTCGGTGCCGTTGCAGCAGTTGTTGCATATTCAAAGTTACAGTCAGAAGTATGAATCCACAGATGGTGGTAAAGGCTTTGGAGCTTTTCTGGGAGCTTCATTGTGGACATGCACACTGGCTCTCCAGTGATTTCCATAAACACGACCACCTTAAACACAGAAGTCTCAAGTTGTACCATTTTTCCAACCAAAGGTTTAGGTTTATTAAACACTTTCAAGCCCATTCTGAGTATTTTTAAACTCCCAACTGAAAGTGGAACAATGCAGAAATCCTGGCTAAAGAGCCTTCGGAGCAATGAAAGAAAAAACAAAAGACATTTTCCAAATGAAGATCATGTGCTCATGTGAAAGCGGCCTCTTTTTATTTGCTAGCTAGACGGAATGAAATACAATCATTTGCAAACCATATTTAATTTGTGCAAAACAACTGTTGAGGAACACTCAAAATCACACCAAGGTTTCATTTTAGCATAATTTCTCTCAAGGTATTTCCTATTGATTTAAATTGCCTCCAAAGTAGCAAGAATGTCCAAAGATTCGTGTTGAAATCAGCATTTATGCACAACTAATGTCGTTTCATTACTCCAGCTTGTAATGTTTCCAAAATGAGATCATAATCACTACATGGAGTATTAGATAAGTAAATCATTCAGCATTGCTGTGCAGTTATAGCAAAGCTAAACATGACTTTCATCCTGCAGTGCAGATGGACAGGCATGTTGTTGTAGGTGGACTGCGTGGCGCAGTGGTGGAGCGGATCCTCACGCCGTGGTCCGTGGTTCAATTCCTGACCTTGAGGTCTTTGCTGCACGTCCCCCACCCTCTCCTCTCTCTATCTGATGGAAGTTAATAACAGCCAGTAGTGCAAGAAAAGTCTAGCATCCCAAGGCTAACTCTAATTTAAATTCCCCTAACTGTGACTCTCCCCTCCTGACTGATTGGAACATCAGAAGCGTGTCTCTGCTGCGTGTTCTTACAGGTGCCAACACGCCGTTACAGACAACCTGCGTTTCTCTCTGCTCATTGATTCATTTGCATTTTAACAGGAGCAATAAATCATGCCGCACGGTTTAGAGCTGGGGGTTTAAATGCTCACATCTGTGTGTCGGGAGAAACACTTGTGTTTGCAGGTGCCGGACCGAGCCATCTCCCCAGGAAACTGCTGGTGACACACCGAATGTGATAAATCTCAGTTCTAAAACTGAAAATCCCACACGTCTGAGAGATCGATAAGGCCTGTCCAGCACTAACGATCACGCTTATTAACACGACTTACACCAGCGATTCATTAACGTCGTATCGTCACGTGAATTATGCCACCTGATGCACACTGTGGTTATCTGTGTTTGTGTGAAGCAGAGCGGCGTGAGGTGAAACGTGGCCATGCATCTCACAACTCACTGCTCAGAGTGGTTTCTGCAAACTTTTCATGATGAATAATAGCATGTCTCTGATATAAAAAAAGAAAAACAGATGAAATGATGTTAATTGGAAATTTCATAAAAAAACACATTTTCTTTGCAGATTTCTGGTCTTTCCTTTTGTCCATCATAACCAGAATGTCTCCAATTTAGACAATGATTCCAACCACTCGCTTACACGACAGGTACAGCTTAGTCAATTAGAAGGTCATTAGAAAAGTTATTCTTGAAAATTTATTTCAGTAGAGTCTGTATATTTCAAGATATATTCGTTCAGTTTTAATGGAAATCCAAAATTCTGATTCAAAGAAGCTTCAGAATAAGACATAAGGCTAAATTAAAAATGAATTTTCAATACAGAAATGTTAATTTACCAACACAGTAGAGGAAAAGACTGCTGACTGTTCAACGCATGCTGTTTATAATAAGCATGTTAATGGAAAGTTTAATGCAACATCGGCTGCATTTCTCATCTTGAATCAGTGAACCATAAAAATCTTTTTGCTCCTAAACTAAGGAGGAAAATGACTGAAAGGATCCAAAGTCATCATTCAGAGGAGAGCTTTCCCTTTAGGGAGATGATTTCATCTTCCTGATGAACATTGTACTGGGTCACACTGGCAAAAGTGCCAACACCGGCGTTAGTCACCATGGAAACACCAGCCAACTGACCTGACCGTTGTGGTCAGGTCAGAGAGCCTCCATGGAGCACGATCCAGAGGAAGAGGAGAGACACCAGAACCAGCAATGCAGATGAGACGAAGGCCGCGGTCAACCTGGACTTTCTGAATATCTCAGCAGAACCAGAGCTGAACTCCTCCATGCCAGGAACTGACTGGAGGCCCTGTACAGTACAGAGATATGCTGATATTAAAGCCACATTTCTGCATTAGAATTGATTTTATTGCTTTGATTTGATTTTTTTTTTTACTATTACAGAAACATGGACTTTTATTTTTATGTCTGTGTCTCTTCTCTGTTTCTTCCTGTGAAGCTCTGGCTTATTTTTATTAAAAAATAAAATAAAATAAAAAAATCTACATCACAGTATGGCCACTGTGTGGCGCTGCACCGCCATTAAAACGACACCAGCACTGGCCTGTGTTCACAGCAATGCTTACAACTGGCTTGGTTGTCTGACTGATGAATATATCTGGAAACTCCTCATGGATCTGCAGCCTGAGTGGCTTTAAGCTTTTAACAAATGGACGCTGAAACAAGAGGTGGGGTTTGATGTCAGAATCATATTTCTCTCTTTATTCTTTTAGCTTTAGCAAGCAGAATGAGTTTAAGGATATCGATTAAAACAAAGTTCCAACCAAAACAGACAGGCGGATACTTTTAGTATTCCAACTTATGATATATTCACGTGTTCA